CCAGTCTCCTTTTCGCACTAGTTATGATCAAACCAAGCTTGACCTCGGTGCTTTCGGGACGGTCACCAAATTGCACCTATTGATGATCAGGAAAGTAAAACTGCCGTAGTGATCATTTAGAACAGCGTATCCGGCTCCCTTGGATCAAAAACTTTAAATAGCGTAGTGCTGGCGCGATCTTCACGGGCAAGTACGACGTCTCTACCTGAATCAATGGCCCTTAGAGCCGCAGCGACCATTCGTCAGTGGACGCCTTGTTGCCTGTCGTCTTACGCACAAAAGACGTGGCGGTGCGCTTCAAACTCCAGCTTACCCCACTTCGCTGAGTTTCCTAGCCTTCATCATTCAGCTTCCTTCAACACCGCATCATCGTGGTCTTTTGTATCAATTCCGTCTACTATTTCCTGTCTGGAGAGCCTCACTCAGCCATTCAGCACTATGTCTAGTGGGCATAGAGGTGGCGGGGATAGAGGAGGACGGGGCGGGTTCCGTGGAGATCGTGGAGGCGGAGGAAGAGACAGACCGGGCGATTACAGGGGGAGGGGCACCGGTGGGTTTCGAGGTGATAGAGGCGGAGGTGGAAGAGGAGGCTATGGAGGTGGCCAACAAGCCATCCAGGTCTTCTCGTACGTTGAACCCTAACGTAGCAAAGTTGTAAATATTCAGTCGTACAGCACACTAACTGTCTATAGCAACCCTCAGCGCCAAGATCCCAAAGTCGCCAAAGTCGAAGATGCCTTGCATCCATCGACAAAGAAGACGCTCGATCTTGGTAGCCTGAAGCTGACCGAAGGCTTCCCCAGCCGTCCGGGATATGGTACCAAGGGTACCAAAGTTGAGCTCACGGCAAATTACGTCGAGTTATTGCCGCCATCAAACATGGTTCTGCATCGGTACGACATACAGATCAGCCCGGAGGCCGCTGGCAGGAAGTGTTTCAGGGTCGTGCAGCTACTGCTCCAGTCGGCCGAAATGGCACCGCTCCAGGGCGACCTTGCAACTGACTTCCGGTCTACCCTCGTCTCCAAAATTAAGTTTCCGCGTGACGAGTCCATTATCGAGGTACGCTACCGTTCAGAAGGCGAAGACGAACCGGCGGCTAGAGCCACCACATACAAGATCCGCGTCCTATATACAAAGACTTTAAGTATCGGCGAGTTGGTCAACTGCCTGAACTCCACGAATCTTAGCCAGTCGTTACGAGATAAGCAGGAGTTGACGCAGGCCCTGAATATCTTTCTGAACCACTACGCCAAATCCGCAAACCTCCTTGCCACGATTGGATCGACAAGGAGCTTTTCCCTCAACCCAAACGCAGTAAGAGGAGATCTCAGCTCTGGCTTGGAAGTCATTCGGGGCTTCTTTTCGAGCGTGCGCGTTGCGACTTGTCGCATCCTGGTCAATATTAATGTCAGCCATGGAGCTTTCTACCACGCTGGCCCTTTACCGGCGCTCATGAACAATTACGGTGTTCGCAACAGCGTCGCGCTAGAAAGATTTCTCAAATTAGTTCGTGTCCAAACCACGCATCTGCCCGAGAAGCGCAACAAAGCCAATGAAGTGATTCCCCGAGTCAAGACTATCTTTGGGCTTGCCAAGAAGGATGATGGACATCGCATGGCCCACCCACCTCGCATTAGACAGCATGGGGCGGGCGCCAAAGATGTCGAATTCTGGCTTGACGGTGAAGCCAACTCCTCTAGAGCACCCAAGGCGGCAGCCAAGGGAGGCGCGAAAGGGAAGGGCAAGGGCAAGGATGAGGCTCAGCCAGACAGCTCAGCAGCTTCTGGCTCTGGGAGGTACATCACTGTTTTTGACTTTTTCAGAATAAGTACGTTATTTGCTCTATCCATCGCTCGATGTAGCTGACTGTGACGCAGCATATAATCGGGTTCTACAACATCCCCAGCTTCCGTTGATCAACTGCGGCAACCGGGAGAATCCGATGCATCTCCCGGCAGGAGTCTGCGTTGTCTTCGCGGGCCAGCCCTCCATGTCGAAGCTTGACGGCACCCAAACTCAACAGATGATTCGCCACGCTGTTCGAAAGCCGTGGGAGAATGCGGCGTCGATTGTTGGGGAGGGTGTACAGACTGTTGGTCTCAATGAGAACTCCAACGTGCTTTTGGTATTATACGTCTCCGCTCTTCCTTCCAAACATGGCATACTAACCTCGTTCAGCGTTCTTTTGGCCTGAGAATCACGCCAGGGCTCGTCAAAGTCCCCGGTCGCGTCCTCGTCGGCCCGAAGGTTATCTATAGGGGCAACAAGGCCGCCGATCCACGCTTCGGCAGTTGGAATATGATCAATATACAGTTCAACACCGGCGCCTCACTTGCCAAGTGGTCATACCTGATGATCTCGGTTCCCGGAGCTCGTGACTCCTTCGACCCGCAAAGCCTGCGGGCCGTAATGAACGAATTTCATGAAGCCTTGAGGAAAATCGGCGTCAACGCTGCCCCACCGCTCCTAGGTCAACGCGTCCAACTTCAGCATCCAGATGACCCTGCAATCGGCTCGAGTTTACAGCGTGCCGCTGGAGCTTTGGATCTCCTTTTTATCATCCTGCCCGAGGCCAACGTACCATTATATAAGCGCATTAAGACGATCGCCGACAAGGACTATGGCATCCACACCATCTGCTCTGTGGGCTTCAAACTATCGAAAGACCGCGGCCGCGACCAATATATGGCTAATGTCGCTTTGAAGTTCAATCTTAAGCTCGGCGGCATCAATCAGACGGTGGAGAACAAGAACCTCGGCATCGTCGACCAGAACAAGACGATGGTTGTCGGCATCGACGTCACGCACCCCTCACCTGGCTCCTCCTCTAATGCGCCCTCTGTCTCTGCAATGGTGGCTTCGGTCGACAAATTCCTAGGTCAATGGCCCGCAACCTTGCGCATCCAACGCGCGAGGCAGGAGAATGTGGACGACCTCACTGAGATGCTGAAGTCTCGCCTTAACCTCTGGAAGACCAAAGGCAAGCACATCGCTCTCCCCGAAAATATTCTCATCTATCGCGACGGAGTCTCTGAAGGCCAGTACGACATGGTTCTCTCGCAAGAGCTTCCTCAACTTCGCCGCGCCTGCGAACAAGTGTACCCAACAGTCGACACCAAGAATGGCCTTCCACGCTTCACCATCATAATCTGCGGCAAGCGGCACAAAACGAGATTCTACCCCACTACTGAGCAAGATTGCGATAGGTCTGGCAACACTAAACCCGGCACCGTTGTCGACCGTGGGGTGACTGAAGCGCGGAACTGGGATTTCTTCCTGCAGGCACACGCCGCACTTCAGGGGACCGCCCGCCCATGTCACTACTACATCGTGCATGATGAGATTTTCCGGCAGATCTATGCGAAGTCGATCCCGCCCCCGTTCCAGAACATCGCCGATATCGTTGAAGATCTCATGCATAATATGTGCTACTTGTTCGGCCGCGCGACCAAGGCTGTTAGTCTATGCCCCCCGGCGTACTACGCTGATCTTGCGTGTGAGCGCGCGCGATGCTACTTGGCGAGTTTGTTCGACACGCCGTCACCGAGTGCGGCCCCGTCAGTGACTGCAACATCAGCGACTGGGGGAGCTGGGCAGCCCAGCGCTGATGATGTGCAGATCCATCCAAGGCTGAAGGATACGATGTTCTACATTTAGAGTCGGATATTGTGAAAGCGCTCATCGGGAGTGTACACTCACCCAAGGGCAATGATGAGTATTGAACTGTAACGAGAAGATGCAGAAGGAAGTTAGTAAGGAGCGAGACACAGAGCACTGGAAGGGGACTGGATCATAAATAGTAAACTAGGACTAATTGTGTGTTGCACGGGTTGAGAGTTCTAAGCAGGCGCACGCCGAAGAGTCTTATGACTATATTTGATACGGCAGTGTAGTCCTGCAAACCCACAGCGTAGCGACTCTGGTAGAAATGGATTGCTAACTCTAAAAGACAGGGGGGGGGTGAGTTGGGAAAACAGGGGGATGTGACGCGAAGTTAATGGCCTGCGTATGTAATTGGATTGAGTACAGTAACCAGTTATTGCAACATTCGCTCCAGATTACTGATTCCCAGTATGTGGCTAGCGATACGGGTGTGTCTGTTTGCTGCATTGTCCAGCTCACTCGTACTTTTTTCTCAATGTACATAGTGTGGGCATGTTGAAGTAGAAACTCGCCAACGGCCCAACCCAAGGTTGCAAACGAACGAAGAGTAGGGCCAAAGGGTCTTGCGACGGCTGGACTGCTGCCCACTGTTCGTAACAGAAAGCTCTCCGCCGAACGAGATTGCGACTGATACTGACCAAAAGCAAATGATCCCAACTCGCTAGAGGCCTTTCACGCTGCGCTCCACACGGGTCATTGGTTAGAAGGTTGCTGAGTTTTCCACATTTGTATTTAATATGATTGTCTTCGATGTGAATTTTCCTCTCGTGGCGGCATCGTCCGCCAACCGTACACTACAGTCTGGTTTAGGGAAATCCTACGCACTTTGCGTAACATTTGAATGGAAATCTGGTTGTACTAGGCCAAGACTGGCAAGGATTTTATGCGGTAGCTAAATGCTCTTTCCCAGTGGCCGAGTTGCCTTACTATCCGGACCTGAAACTACATACGAAGTGTCCGATGTCTACTGGGCCTCCGTACTCCTTCTATCTGTCTTAATTTGGCACGCACATGCCGTTGCAGACATACAAGCCAAAGGTTCCGCAGCCCTCTAGAGAATCAATAGTCAGTACATCGCATCAATTTGAAAGCAACAAGTTTCACACTCACTGTCAGTGAAAGCACAATTTCCAGACTTATACTGGCAGTGGCTCTCACACCGCATCTAGCGCGCTTGTCGAGCATGCTGCGCTTAGCCGCCGTACCCGCAGGTCTACCAGTTAGGATGAAGGAGCAAGTACTCTTGTCGAAGACAGCAGCACAAGCTTTTGTCACGTTATGAGACTCATATTAACTAAGCTTCTTCATAAAATTATTGTCTTTTTTCTTGCTGCAGACAGAGTCTGTAGCCCTCTGCTTAATACCAAAAACTTCCTTTCGTCCGAATTTAACTGTCGGCTAAGTTTAGTCATGATAGCGGACACTATGACATCCAGTCATTACGCCAAGCTCTGCGACTTCAGTCTACAGAGGCATTACTCTCGCGATAAATCCTGCCTTGGCGTGTATTTTTGGTGACCATGCAACTCGCAGGGCCCCTTTCATTCCTTTTACCGGCTGAAGGAGGCACAGTCGCCTGCCTTGCAACCTCTCTTCCTCTGCACCTGCTGGCACGTCAGGGACGGTGGGTTGTTTACCGGGACGATACTGCATCGTGAAATTATATCGCGATAGGGTCTCAGCCCATCTTGCTTCTCTCTCGCTGAGTTGCTGTGGCCGAAGTAAAGAGATTGTACGCCTGCCGTCAAAGCCAATTCCAATTGGCTTCAAAGTTTGGGTTATGGCGCAAAAGGGCTATTTCCTCCAATGGACTTGGCATGAGAAAGGCAGTGGGCCTGTCGGGTTGACTCCTCAGATCTTCTCTGGAAAGGCCTTGGCCAATACCCGGGCGATAGTGGCCTGGCTGCTATCTAAGCTTCCACCTCCACCATCACCAGTCCATGGTTACCATGTCTTTATGGATAATCTCTTCGCAACTACCCCCTTTTGAAACTTCTTCGTGAGCGTGGCATTGCGGCAACAGGGACTACAAGAGCTCGTTCAGGCGGTATTGGCGAGAAATTTATTGCTCTAAAAAAGGAAGACGATAAAAGAGACTGTATACCTTGGGGAACCGCCTACTCTCGGCCAACCAAAGACCAAAAGGTGATGCAATTTGCCTGGAAAGATGATGCCCTGGTTCTTTTACTTTCAAGTTATTTTGACGGCTTAGAAGAAGATATACTCCGCATACGGCGATGTCCTTCGAAGTCCTCAAGTTCTGCAAAGACCGCAAGGGTACCATTTGACGGCGAGTTCACTAGAGAGCTTCCTATCCCACAGTTCATCGATGACTACAACCATTTTATGGGAGGCGTTGATATTGGGGACCAACCACGATCATCGTATAACTGGGATCCAAGAACAAGATGAGGAGGTTGGCGGGCGGTCGCGTTTCTTTTCTTACTTGAGGTTTGCATAACGAATTCATGGCAACTCTGGCGGCGACAAGAAGGCAGGAAAGAGAGCCATCTTGACTTAGACGCATGCTATATAAAGATTTCTTTCTGAAGTTTAGTAGAATCTCTATTTTGAAGCGATCGCAGCCTGTAAGTCTTACAGGCCGGCCTTCCTTGGTTGCACGGCACTCAAAAATGCGCAGACCTAAGCGAGGATGGTATGCCTTCTGTTCTTCTAATAAGAAGAGAGCCATATTATCCGCGGAGTACGTCCATGGGCAAGGTCAACGAAAGTCGAATGTCTTCTTTGGCTGTAAACAGTGCAATGTCCCGCTCTGTAAGGATGGTGTCGGATAATGCCTCTGTAGACTGAAGTCGCAGAGCTTGGAGTAATTGCTGGATGTCATAGCGTCGGCTATCATGACTAAACTTAGCCGAAAGTTAAATTCGGACGAAAGGAAGTTTTTTTTTGGTATTAAAAAGAGAGCTGCAGACGGAGTCTGCAGTACCAGGAAGAACAAGAATAATGATTTTATCGAGAAGCTTAGTTAACATAAGTCTCATAACGTGACAGATGGGGACGAGCTTTCTTTGTAGCACCAAGCTCCCGCGATATAGATCCCCAATGCCCCGCGGCCACTGCAGTGTATTATTGAGAATATGCCTTGCTTTTGCAGGTCACTGAAAGCCAACTTTGGCCGCAGTTCGAATTTGACCCATGAAACGGTCTGGTACTGCGTCCCCGCCAATTTACGCACGGATTTGCAGGAAAGGAATCGTGGAATGAGCAACAAGCTCAACTTCAACACCGACCCCATCCAATATGGGTTGAGTGTCTGAACGGTAGATGACGGCTCTGCACCGCTGATCTCCGTTTCTAAACACACCAACGTCACCAACCAAAAACGGGGATGAGTCCACTAACGAGCGCTGCTATATTTGTTAATAAGGTGTCTTGGTGGACTGCCACCTTCTCGAGTTCTTTTGTCTGGTTCGCCAACTCATTTACGGACCCTTACGGAGGCTGATGGCCTGAATTTTGCTTAGTTGCCGTGGTCACTTTATGTACAAGGAGTAAAGTAAGCAAGCATGTGGCCGGGGAAGAAAAGATTCAAGCCCAGGAAACCCCAGGATCTGGCAGCGCGCCGACGAAAAGTGTGTGATTTGGTAAATTATAGCTATGGGGTCCTTTCGTACAGTAGGTTCGTCCCATTATCGTTGGCGAAAGCCACCAGTTCGAGTAAAGGCCGCGGGCGCATTTGCTTTTGACTGTTTTGCTCTATAACTGGCCTAAACCGTCGATCGTGTATAAGGTTGAGCTGTGGTTCGAGGGCTACCGACCGCAGTACTTTCGATCGCACTCGTCGCACTCGGAAGGTGTGAGCTGCTGAGTTGAGATGCTGCTGGAGAGCTTGCTACCGAATGACTGGTCGCATTCGTATGCTGCAGCTTGAGCTGCTGAATTGAGGTGTCGCTGAAGTGAATGTCGACCCGTCGGAGGCTCAATTCCAAGGCTGGCAGTGGTTTGGTTGCTGCTCTTTTCGCACGTTCTGCCATGCTAGTGGGCAAGGAAAGTTTGGCCTCGGAGCTGGGGCGGATTGAGGTTCCTCGACTTTTTTCAGCACGGAGGACCCTTTCCATTGATTGCCTGCTAGCCAGGCCCAAGCTTTCTCCATGCGCGCAATTAAACAGCCACAGCGAAGCTGCAACAACAAAGCCCCCGCATCGGCCCCAATGTTACTCATGAAAACTTCAATGGGAAGACTGTGCCAAAAACTTCGGGCCGCCCAACATGCAAGTACGTGCTCCGGTTCTTTGATGGCTGATTGTATTATCCGCCGGGACCGCTGCCGCCACTTTTTTGGTTCCGTCTCTGCCTGCATCCTGGGAAGCTAAGGCAGAACGCGCCAACCCCAGCCTCCCTTTCGTTCTAGTTCCCAGATCCGCACTTCCCAAGCCGCTGGCTGGCTGTACGGCAAAGGACCCATACTTCTCGGCGTCACAGGAGGCTGATCCCGCGCGCCACCCATTGATAAAGGCTTCCAACGTTTCGCTGTCATCATTTGTGAGGTGTTTGGCCAGCCAGCTGGTTCAACAAATCTTGCACTCCATTTCGTTTCTCTCGCACAGCGACCCTTCTACTTCAATTTGTCCTTGAACTACAAATCCAGCTGTTTCCGTGACGCGGCAACGCACAACACGGGGCAGATATAAATCATAAAGGGATAAGACTCACCAGTCTTGTCATCGGTGTGTTCCTGTGCCTCTCGACCCAGCTTCTTGATAAGACGCTTCTGCCGTTCAATCTTCTGCAGAGCTTGGCTCCGCTCCTCCTCGATACCGTCCCATGTCTGGTCTTCCAGAGAGCTGAGTATGCAACAGGTCATACTCAGCTCTCTGGAAGACCAGACATGGGACGGTATCGAGGAGGAGCGGAGCCAAGCTCTGCAGAAGATTGAACGGCAGAAGCGTCTTATCAAGAAGCTGGGTCGAGAGGCACAGGAACACACCGATGACAAGACTGGTGAGTCTTATCCCTTTATGATTTATATCTGCCCCGTGTTGTGCGTTGCTTGATACCAACAGCAGAACTCCAAACTCATAACATCACTCTCATTACAGCCTAACACTTTTCTCTCTAGACCTTGGCTGCTCTGCATCACAAAAGCAATCTCCATCCGGCTCATCAAACAGTGAGTGCCTTTTTTTATGCTCTAGCAAAGTCGGCTCTACACCGTCGACCGATGTGAAATGCTGTTATGTTTCACTGGCGCCACTGGACGAACTGTTTGTACTCCATTATGTGATGACAAGACTCAAATTTGCATCTACACCCCACTGCTTTCAAAACCTAATCCTTTCCTGTTGTATCGTGCCAGCCGCATGATCAGGCAAGTGCCCGAGCACGACGGCAGTGAATGCTCCCTTGCACAACGTACACTTCGTCACACGGAGAGACAAATCTTGCTACAGGGCTATATAGCGGTAGCATCTCCTAGAGCTCTATACAAACACCTGTCCGCATTCCTAACTGATGTGCCTACAGAGCCCCCACGCCCTCAAC